TCTCTCTCTCTCTCTCTCTCTCTCTCTCTCTCTCTCTCTCTCTCTCTCTCTCTCTCTCTCTCTCTCTCTCTCTCTGTGTCCCGCCCCCCCGGCATCTAATACACCGCCCTTTCGGGGACAAACGTGTACTCCGTACTCCGTACTCAACATAGGCCCCAATACTGACTCTTGTAATCTACGCACCTCGACAGCGACAGCGACAGACCGTGCTTAGTAGTTTCATTGTCCTGTGGTGACCCCTATGGCCCGAGTATGAGTCTAGGCCCGAGCCTGACTGGGGATTCTGCTAACTCCAGGCGGTTAGTGTGACCCGTGACCCGGTGCACCGGCCTTGAGCCCGCACCACCGGGCACCTATAATAATTATGAGTACGATGTGCCATGGACGTCAACTGCCCCCCTCCCCCTTCAACCCCTTCAAGCTGCACCTCCCTTCTCCCTGATGAGGAAAAGGTGACAAGTGGTCTTTTATTCTCCGGTCTCCCCTCGTGCACCATGTTCAGTCCTCCCTGCAATAAGTTGCGACTGCTCCGACCCAAATCTACCTCGTACCTCGTACCTCGTCCAACTTGAAGTGAGTGAGCAAGCATAAAGCATGTACATTCTCCCGCTCCTCGGTTACGCCGGCCTGGTCCTGGGCTTTGGCTTCCTCACCCTCTCCATCGCCTCGGGGCTCTACTACCTCTCGGAGCTGGTCGAGGAACATTCGGTCTTCAGCGCCAGGCTCCTCAAACGCCTCGTCTACGTCGTGGTCGCCGCCCAGATTCTCCTGTGGCTCGTCGACGGCTTTCCCTGGCATCTGACTCTGCTCGGGGTGGCCAGCCACGCCGTGTACGCGACGAATCTGCGCCACTTTCCCATCGTCAAACTGTCCGACCCTTTCTTCCTCTCCAGTTGCGCCCTGGTCATCCTCAACCACTGGCTGTGGTTCCGCCACTTCAGTGCTCCCGTCGGATACAAAGGCGCCCCTCCCAGCAGTCGCCGAGACTGGTACTTGGGTCAGGCTTACGACCAGCCCACCTTCACCGAGATCGCATCTTACTTCGGCCTGTGCGTTTGGTTGGTGCCGTTCGCTTTGTTCGTCAGCCTGAGTGCGGGAGAAAACGTCCTGCCCAGCATGGGCTCGGAATACGCGACAGGCGAAAGAGAGGGCGTCGGATTCAAGAAGGGCCACAAGAGGAGAAATACTGGAATGGCAAAGGCCGCGCTGGGCGGGGCAAAAGACTGGTTGAACGAGACAGGCGCCGTCATGGGCTTGTGGCAAGCTGACAACGTGCGGAGCGTGCCGGCCTTTGATTGAAGCTGCTGAGACTTGATTGCGAACAGCTGGGATGATGGCACAGTCGAACCTCGAAGGTTGTGCTCTTACCTACACGCGTCTGTGGCCCGGCAGGTCGCGCTCGGCTGCTTAGGCTGCCCTGGCTGCCCTGGCTGGAGAATCAGGCACCATTTCGGCGTACAGGTTGAGCAGTATTTCGACGTCCGTTACGACGAGTCCGAAATCTTGCGTCGAGGCTTTAACCATTACCAAACTACTAGGCGGTTCGTGAGCGATTCCAGCCTTGCCATCCTGCTCGCCGTTATGAAATCTGTTCGTTGGATCGCAGACACCATTGGGCCAAGTCAGTGTCATCAGAGTCAGAATCTAACTTGAATTACCGATGACCTGCGTGACCTTCAGAGCGACTTTGGGCGAATACAAATATCTCAGCCCATTCATTGCCTTCGGGTGCTCGCGCTCCCCCTTACAAAGAGTATATGAGTCGACCGGTAGGGTCACTCAGCCACCGCCAGTTCTAAAACGCAAGCCAGGCTGGGGTCAGGGCACATAGAAGCCTAGTCAGATGATGGTAAAGAGCAGAAATACCCGGTGACTGCAGAAGGAGAGAGCAAGATGTGGCTACGACAGGTATGCGGCATATATAGCCCTATTGCCCACGCGGCAACCAAAAGGCTCTAACCACACCTACAATGATTGTAGGCTCAGAGCCAACTAGATCAGACCAGACAAACCAAACACCTTTTCCATGACCGCTCCTTGACTTTTCTTTTTTCCTTCATAGTTCCCATGCATGATTAAGACCCCGTAGGTCCAAGTTTTGAGTGTTTTATCTTCCCTTTCCTACCCGAGCTGCCCGCTTGCAGGTCTGATTGTGCAGGTCTGATGATGCAGGTCTGATGATGCAGGTCTGATTGTGCAGGTCTGACGATGCACCCTAACTGTCGTGTTCGACCTGTGGCCAGAAGCGCCTCTCCACGTCGAGAATGTGTGCCCACACGGCCAGGTAGACGTCGAGGTTGCGATTGACGGCGTCCTCGCGCTCGGCCAGCAAGTCGGTGATATGTCCGATGTCCCGGACGAAGTCGGCGAACTCGATCGAGGTCCAGTTCGGGATGAAGGCGGAGCGAAGGGCGCCCGAGTCCTGGTCGGCGGCGAAAGGGTCCAGCTTACCCGTGCCCGTGCCCGGCGGTCCTGAGCCTTCTTTCGGCTCATGGATATGGTCAGTGTTGATATCGGTGTTGGTGTTGGTGTTGGTGTTGGTGTTGGTGTCGGTGTCGGTGAAACTGGCCGCATACGTCCAGGCGCGGAGGTAGACGGTCTCGGTGGCCCAGAGCACGACGAGGCCCTCGAGCAGCGACCTGGACGGATCGGCGGCGAAGGAGCGGAAGAGGTCGATGTACTGCTGAGTGGCGGGTTCGGCGGCGAAGACAGCCTCGCCATCGCCATCGCCATCGGACCGACTGGGCGCGTCGAGGCTGAGCCCATACTTTTCCGCCGTCGATTCAAAAAAGGCCAGTTCCCGAAGGATGTTGTCGAGAGCCGCACTCAGCAGCGTCACCACTCGCCAGGGCCGGATGGCCTCGTCTTCGTCTTTGTCTTTGTCGTTGTCGTTCTCCTTGGTCAAGTTCTTGTCCTGGCTGGACACGTACGCGTCCGGCAGCTCGACACGGGCGATCAGGGCACCGATGAAGCCGATGTACGACTGCGCGTACAGTCTGTCCTGGGACAGCCAGCGTGACAACGTCGCTCGAGGCAGAGTGCCCCGGCCTGCGAGGCGGAGGAACGGGTGTTCCGTGGCCGATTGGAAGGATTCGGGGGCGGAATGGAGCAGGATCCTGGTGAGGGAGGTCGAGGTCGAGGGGGCATTGGGATTGGGATTGAAATGCACACTGTCGTCAACAACCCCGGTGCCGGACGCAGAGGCGGCCATGGTGACGCCTAGGGCGAGCGGCCTGTCGTCGATGATATGTACCGTAAGTTTGATATCCGTATAATTCTATTGTCAGTCCCGACCTAACTGTGTGATGTCTCTGTCTCCGTCTCTGTACACTAAGTACTCAATATCTACTTGCTGTAGAGTGCGGAACTCTCGGCGAATCGGATATGCGGCATAGGGCCATGTAAAGTACCAGCCAGCCTACCAGGCATGTACTGTAGTTATCCGTAAATAGTATACATATTATGGTATCCGTAATCAGATTCTATTATTACTATGTATGATATTGTATGTCTGGGGCTTCGTCGGCACGGTTCTCCTTCTCCTTCTCCTTCTCCTTTCTTCAAGTGTCGGCCAATACTGTACTACGTACCAGCAAGCAAGAACTCGTGGCTGAGCCCGCGCAGGGAAGAGGGAAAAGGGAAAAGGGAAAAGGGAAGAGGGGGCGGTGGTTCCAGCCGAGAAATGTCAAAAACGTCAACCACGGGCCACGGGCCTAAAAACCCGCGTTGGACTGTCGATGGTATCGGCTAAGGCTAAGGGGCCCCTGAATTGAGACCAGACCTCCGGATATCTAGATATATACCTAAAGGTATACGTCCCTTTTTCGGCATACCTACATACTACATACTACATACTACATACTACATACTACTCATACACAGCTGCAACTGCGCCGAGAGCAAATTATCTCTGATTCCGAATCCGATTCCGCTTCAGGAGTGTACAGTGAGTGTGAGAGCGAGTGTGTGTGAAAGAGAGAGAGAGGAGCCAGCAACCCCTTCCCTTTTCATTTCCATTTCCATTTACCGGTCGACCGTCAACAGTCGACGGCCCACAGACGAGCCAGCCGACCAACTCATCCTTCTCCTGACGTGACCAGAGCGATCAGAACCGGATTCCGGATTCCGGCGCGATCGCTACGGCCAACGCCAACCATGTCCCCGCGCGTGTTCTTGATCACAGGCGCCTCGTCCGGGTTCGGGCACTACTACGCGCAAGAGGTGCTTGCGCGCGGCGACTACGTGGTGGCGACGGCGCGGGACGCGGCGAGCGTGGCGGCGACGAGGTTCGACGGGGCCAACCACACCAACCACCTGGCGGTGCGGCTGGACGTGACGGAGCGGGCGAGCACCGAGGCGGCGTTTGAGGCGGCGCTGGCGCGGTTCGGCCGGGTCGACGTGGTGGTCAACAACGCCGGGTACGGGCTCGCCGGCTGTTTCGAGGAGTACACGGACGCGCAGATGCGGCAGCAGATGGACATCAACTTCTTCGGCCTGCTCGACGTCACGCGCACCGCCCTCAACGTCATGCGCGACCGCCAGCGGCCCTGCGGCGGCCTCATCCAGCAGGTCACCAGCATCGGCGGCCAGAGGGGCGTGCCGCTGTTCAGCGTCTACTGCGCCAGCAAATGGGCCGTCGAGGGCTTCACCGAGTCGCTCAGCCACGAACTCAAGCCCGAATGGGGCATCCGCTTGACTCTGCTCGAGCCCGGCGGCTTCAGGTATGTTGGTTGATCCTGCGTCTACCCTCTACGTCTGGCGTGCTATTTACGTTGTTGGTCTATACCCCACTCGGCGTGTTTGCTGACCACCTCCCTTGCCTTGCAGAACCGACTGGGCCGGCCGCAGCATGGTCTTTGCCGACCGCCATCCCGCATATGACCGTAAGTGAGGTGTTGTTTCGTCTTCCACGACCTCTACCTACCTATCTACCTACCTACCTACCTACCTACCTACCTACCTACCTACCTACCTACCTACCTACCTACCTACCTACCTACCTACCTACCTACCTACCTCCCTACCTACCTACCTACCTACCTACCTACCTACCTACC